GAATTAGAATACTTGGAAGCTTTTACCTTATGATTTGCTTCTGAACTAGCATTAGGTATTTTTACAAACTTCCAATCTAGTTCAGAGAGTTTATTATTTTGAAAATTGACTTTCTTCTCTTATCTTGGTGCTTTGACTTTCCATTTTTCTTATCTTCTTACTCTTTTAATTGTTCCAGAGGAAGATAGGTTAGATTTGTCAATGATAACATTTTTACCCTTTTGCTCAGGAGTAAACTTGATTGAAGTGTTTCTCTGGACTATTTAGGTTTTTCTTTCAACTCTTATCCCAATTCCAGATAGGTTTTGGATTTTAGACATATTTCTATGAAGTCAGAGCATATGGGAATTTTTGGAATCTGATCTTTGATAAATACAGGCTTGTTCAGAATTCCATGTGTTAGTTTTGATTTTTTTGTTCTAGTCAGCAACTATCTCTAGAAGAACATCAGATGATTCCTTATCCGATTCTGAGTCTAGAAAATCCTTTTTAGGTTTTTCTAGAGATAGGAGCTTGTTTTGCACTATATACTCCATAACTTTCACTATCTCTTTGAAAAGTAGTTTTCATGTCCTCAACCTCAACTCAACAAGATTCAAAAGTTTTAGTAGACTTACTTTCATCAGAGACTTTTGATTCAGTTAAATTTTTCTTCGATCTCTTCTTCAGAATTGCTTTGAGGAGCAAACTCACGTTTTTGGATTTAGTACCCCGATGTCTGATGATGAATCAGAGACTTGAGATTTCAGGGGTATTTGATTCAGAGAGTGGTGAAGTTTGTGACTTTAAGGAATCAAAGTTTAAAATGTGACGAATTTCATTTCTTTGTTCTTATTTTAAATCACTTGACACAAAATCTGAAGATTCAGAAGCTAACGTTTGCTTTTTCTGATAATGATGAGCCTTTATCAAGTTTTAACTTTTCAGGAGCATTTCTATATAACACATTTTCGTATTTTGGTCCCTTAGAGGTCTTAATCCTCCCGAATGCAAAAGATTCTCTTAAAGATGGAAAATCAGGCTTTTGAATAGATCCAATGCAGAGCTCATCCTTCTAGATCATGGTTTGCTTAAAGAGACATGGAAATTTGGGTCCATTCATCATTTGAACTTTTTATAAACAAGAGACTATGTTCTTCATTAGATTTGTTGATCCCATTTCTTTTACATTTGTTGATCAGTGTATTGAATCGATCATATGTCTTTTGGAGACTATATTCTTGAATGGTAGAGAAGCCATTATGCTAATTCAGATACTAAACTTGTCTGTGCTTTCTGGTCTTAATTTCACCTTCAAGTTGATTAACTAGCTCATCCGATATGGCTTTGGCATTGTCACAAGAATCTAGTGATTGAAATATTTCATTTGTAACAGCCATGATGAGTAGCTGTTTAGCCTTTCGATCGATCTCAACTCTTGCGTTTTTTTTTCATTGTCCCATTAAGCTTCATATTTTATTATTGTGGAAGTAGGGATTTCAGGAGTAGTGTTTGTTTGAGGAACTCTTGGAACAGTAATCGTGGGAATAGAAGGACCATTGATCAGTGATTTATATAAGCTACTGTCTAATCCTTCCAAAAAGTTGGTCATCCTCATTTCCCATTGAGGATATTCCTCACGAAGAAAAGTAGGAGGTTTGGTGAGAAAACCAACTCTGTAATCAGAATTCCATGTTGAATTTGCCATGATTAATTAGAAACAATACAGATCTGTTCTTCAAATTGATAATAAACGCTGAGATCATAGGATCTGAGCTCGAATAATAAAATTTGTGAGAAACAGGTTTTTACGAAAGGAATTTGCAGATTTGAAGAAACTGCTAATAAAATTGAGAAATAAATCTAAAACATATTAGATCGTCGTATTGATTATCACCAATACAATAATTCATAGTCATGATTATCATCATCTATCTTCTGTATTAGCGGCACTTGAGTAAAGTCGAGTGCTAGTCAGAGACTCATGGGGGACTTAAATCTTTGGGATGTTTTTCGTATTGTTGGAGATAACGACTTTTGGAGATAACGACTTTTGGTGAGAGTTATGATAATACCGTCCCCATGAGAACCTGATGTATATGATGACAAATAAAAAAAGTTAGGTTTAACGCCTACTGAGTTCAAGCAGTTTTCATCATTTTCATAAAAAGGTAAAACGGAAAAAAAAAATACTATTTAAAAATCTCAATTTCCAAAATGAAATGTATTAAAATATAAAATCAACATCTTTTCCAAAACCAGTGTTTTCATAATAAATACTAGTGAACCAAAACACCTATTTAACATGAATCTAAAACCCAATACTCAGTTAAATTGTAAATAAGGTTTAAAATTAAAATACTAAAAACATGGATAAAAACTTTCCAAAATCATATGAGCGAACCCCATGGTTTCAAGACGAGAACATCAAAACTCCTCGCTTGACAAAATCAAATGTTTCAAAATGAGAACATAAAAACTTCTCACATGATTCAAACAGTGATTTCAAGAAGAGAACATCAAAACTTCTCTGCTGTCACATCTAAAAGGGCCTAAGCTGAGAACATCCAAACTCGTCACTTCACTGAATCTATGGCTTCAAGACGAGAACATCAAAACTTCCCGCTCGGCAAACATGACTGACAAGTATCCTTATGGATCCAATGCATTATAGTCTAAATTACACGACTCCAATTGAATGACCAACACACTCATAACATGTAATTGTCAAATCAAGATATAATAATGCTAACATGCCCGAGCTCTTTATTTAGTAATTTAAACCGGACAAATGTCCTCAAAAGTCAAATGGACACCAAAATCAAGCCAATAAACTCCAAATTTATTTGATTATACAATAAAAGTCAACATAAACCAATAATTATAAGTCAAAAGGTTTGAAAATTATCGTTACCACTCAAAAGTCGGTCAAAAACCCAAAACGAGTATTTATCTCAAATCTAAGTCTACACCCTTAAACGACTAGCCATAGAAACACAGGTGTTACACACAATGGTTTCAGGTTATTCGGTTTGGGTTTAACAATTCAATTGATCAAATAAAATAAGTTTCAGTTTCGATTTTCTTACCATAACAGTGAACCAAATAGAAATTATACAATTATTTAATTTGTATAATTTCCTTCTAGATGAATTGGTTTGAGCATATATAAAATTAATATTAGGTGAACGATCTCTATCTTTAAACTAAAAGAACAATAAAATTGAGATATACTTAATAAAACCATCAACCAACGTTATCATTGTAACATGATTGCAAGATCTAGAGGTAACAAAACAATCAATGTGCGGGGGAACGACTGTCAAGCGAGTGGGCGGGGATTTCATCAAAATGGATTGGACCATAAAATTGAATACGTTTTGACGTGTAATCATGCAATGCAGCAGGATATATCTTTATTTTGTATCTCTCGATTTTATTTTGTGAAATTTATAGTTTTGAGTGAGTGAAAGAGTCATCTCTTGCTGATCATTTTAATGAAGTATTTTGTCGTGTTAATAGAATTCAATATTTATCTTGTATTTGAATATGTTATCAATTTGTTACGAGTTAGTTTTATGAAGTTCAAACGTATTAATAAGTTGTACAAATATAATAATGAATATTGTATAATGTAGTAAAAATATAGTACAAAGATACACACATAGGAATATGTGCATTATCGAGGGTCCTTTTACGGTTTTTGGTTGATTTCGAGAAACTTTTTCCGGTGTTATGGTTGATTGTGGTTTTTTAGTTGATCTTGAGGGCTTTTTACAAGATTTTTTTTGTTGATTTCGAAGGACTTTTATCAGTTTTTGGTTGATTTCGAGGGATTTTCTCATGGATGGACCTAGAGTAGAGCATATGGTGGCACGTGCTAACGTATTATTCCTCCGTTGAAGGGTAAAAAAAATTTAGGTTCGTGAAAGGTGCAACCGTATGTATTTTGAAACTACAGTGAGAACAAATTTTATTTGGTAGTGTTGGTTTGCTAGGTTTTTATTCCATCCCAGACCCAAGTTCAACTCCTGTTAATGTCATTTTCTTAGTCAAATGGTGTCAACTTTTGAAAAAAAAAAACTCTGTACATTTGTTTCTTATAATCGAATTGTGCCACCGTTTGAAGAAAAAAAATTCCTATATTTTTTAAGTTATTGGCTCGAGGTCGAACTTACGATTGATTAACTCGTTTATCAACTTGAGTTTGATAATGTTTATATTTTTATTGTATGATTAATAAATATATGGGCATGTTTGGCTCGAAAAATGGTATGCTCGAATGGCTCGGTTTGACTTGATTCGAAAAATTGAATCGAGTTTTCAAACGAGCCGAGTCGAACACTAGTGTTATAAAGCTCGATTTGTTAAGTTAAACAAGTTCTAGTTTTTGTTCGAAATCGACTCTAGCTCGAAAATTTTTAAGCTCAAACTCAAGTAGCTCGTTACAAACTTGAATCGTTTACACCCTCGACCAGGTGATACAACATCTATAAACAGCTTAATTATTTGGCTTCTTTCTATTTCCAAAAAAGCCCATTCCAGTCTTCCCATATCTAACATAAAATCTTCCAAAATTTGACCATTTTCTGGGTTTTGAAAGGGTATTTCCGTCAAAAAAGATTCAACTTTTATGATGAATCCATCTGTTTCTTACTTTATTTTATGTTTTTATTGAATTTCTTGGGAAAAGAAATAAAAAAGTCCACACCATTTTTTGTCCTATGTGCAGATAACACATTGTAAATTTGACTGAGAAGGGCATTTATGGTAAATTTGAAACTCTTTTTTTAAATTTCCATCTCTTTTTGGATGTTTTTATCGTATCTTTTAAGGGGTAAAAATCCAAAATCCACAGGATTTTGGTACAATTATGCATACATCTCTGTGTTCTTCAAGGGTATTTTAGTAATTTTCTAAAGAATTTCAACTTTTAAACCCTTTTGTTTTTTTTTATATATATTTTTATTGATTTTTTATTGAAAACAAAAAAGCTTCACACCATATTTGCTCAATTATTTATGGAGCTGAGTGCATTAAGTTCAGACACTGAAATCTCAATGGGCTTCTTGTCATCATGGGTTAAGCTTCTTCCCTTCCTTTTACTAAACCTTTGCATCTTTCAGCAAAACTGGTTTGTGTTCAGCATTTCAAGCAGCAAGGTCTGTCCTCTTTATGTTTCTTTGACTTCTTACTCAAAATGTTTGACTTTCTGTAGTTGATTTATTGATTTGACTAATCATGATTCAAGAATGTTTGACTACAAACTTCAGGTTCATATTGTTTATATGGGACATAATACTCATTCTCACCCAGAGGTTCTTCGGGAGAAACACCATGGAATTCTATCTCAAATTCTTGGAAGGTATATATCACACTTACATATATATATATATATATATATATATATATACATTGAGCAAATAATCGTGTAAGAAAGAGAGTTAAAGGTGAGAAACGAAAGAAAGAGATCTGAACCCTGATCATTTTTAATCTCATGTCCACCAATGAATTGCGCTTTAGAAGGGTTTGTGTTAACATTCAATTAGTATTGATCTAAGGGTGGAGATCTCGCTTCTCATCGAAACCAACCCTATATATATACACACACATACATATATACAAGAGTACCATGACATCACGAAACCGGATTCGTAACCCATATAAGAAAATTGAAGAATGAAAGAAAATGGTGAAATGAGTCGGGTTTTCACAAAAACAGTCGTTCTAGTCTTTGGTTTGGATTTCAGAATGGAGCCTAACTATTTGTTGTTGTTGTTGTTGTCGTCGTCGTCAATGATTCTTGTAGCAAAGAAGCTGCAGCTAAATCAATTGTGTATAGCTACAAGCATGGGTTTTCGGGGTTTGCAGCGGTATTGACCCCGTTACAAGCTTCATCGGTTGCAGGTGTTGATTTCATGGATTCTTTGTTTTGTTTACTTGTACACCATTTGTAAACTAGTATGTCTTTCTGGATTTGCTTACTCAAATCTAGCTTTTTCTAACCTTAGTTTAACTGCATTTTTCAAAGAGCTTGGCTAGTTGGGCCGTACGGCATCAACGCAGGTCGACCCTAGTTGGCTCGTTTCACGTTCTGAACCCGGTCCTAGCCTAGAATGCATTGGGCTCAAACAACTATAGTCGATCAGTCCATCAGTCGAGTCTAGTCCAGTCCAGTCCGGTTGTAAGCCGTGAAAGAATTGGTTCTAATCAACTCATTTTTTAATGCAGATTTAGCAGGAGTTGTTTGTGTGATTCCTAATAGAATTCTTCAACTTCACACAACAAGAAGTTGGGATTTTCTCCAAGTCAAACCTCGTTTGGTCAACGGGATACTCTCCAAAAGTCAATCGGGTGTTGGATCCATCATTGGAGTCTTTGATAGTGGTACGTTGACTTTTGAAGTCAACCACATTAGTTTTTCTTCCACTCCGAAATCAAAAATTGTATAAATTCTTTAAAAAAAACAAAAGAAATCAATACATAATTAGATTAAGCGTTAATTCAAGAACAATGTTGGTGTCAGATCTTCATAAAGATTAAGACCAATTTCGATCTGATGAAAAAGTCAAAATAAATGGTGATTAAGATTCTGTTGTTGATCAGGAGTATGGCCGGAATCTAGAAGCTTTAACGACGTCGGAATGAAGAAGCCACCGTCACGTTGGAAAGGCGTATGTCAACAAGGACACCACTTCAATGAGTCCAACTGCAACAGCAAAATCATCGGTGCACGTTGGTATGTGAAGGGATACGAAGCTGAATTCGGAGACTTGGACACGAGCGATGGGTCTGAGTTTCTATCGCCACGTGATGCGTACGGCCATGGTACGCACACTTCCTCCACTGCAGCCGGAGCTCTAGTAGAAGACACGAGTTTCTTCGGGCTAGCTCGTGGGTTAGCCAGAGGAGGTGCATCATCGTCTCATATAGCCGTATACAAGGTGTGTTGGGCCACCGGAGGTTGTAGCTCAGCCGACATCCTTGCGGCCTTCGATGATTCCATCCACGACGGTGTGGATGTGATCTCGGTCTCGTTGGGCACCGGACCGCCATTTTCGACGTATCTTGAAGATCCATTGGCCATTGGTTCATTTCATGCTGTGGCTTGCGGGATCACGGTTGTTTGTTCTTGTGGGAACTTCGGTCCGTATCCTCAAACCGTTACTAATACAGCTCCGTGGGTGATAACGGTAGCCGCAAGCACCATTGATAGAGCTTTCCCGACCTTGATTACGCTCGGAAACAATCAAACTTTCATGGTACGTGTTCTTCGAAATTGATCTAAATTCGTTAACTTTTTCAAAAGATTACGAAAAGCGAACGTTGAATCGTATGCAGGGTCAAGCTTTCGTTACCGGGAAAGATTTTCACAAATTCTACCCTCTCGTGTACGGTGAAGATATCGTTGCTGATGATGCAGACGAGGACGATGCAAGGTCTAATTAGCTAGATTTCTAATATATGAGCTATCAACTAACTTATTAGCCAACTACTAGCTTTTCAGAGTCTTATTAACTAGTTTGAATGTATGTGATTCGTTACAGAAGTTGTGAAGCTGGATCGCTGAATGCAAGTTTAGCTACAGGCGCGATCGTTCTATGTTTCCAATCCCTAACAAGAAGCTTGGCGGCTTCAACCGCCAGAAACGTGCAAGAAGTTGGTGGTGTTGCGATCATTTTCGCGCAATATCCAACCAAAGATGTCACTTTGACATTTGCAATCCCTTGTGTTCAGATCGACTTTTCAATCGGAACATCTCTAGTAATCTACGCAGAATCAAACAGGTAATTTGATTCGATTTGTAGCCATCGGGATAAAAACAACGCATCTGATTTGTACATTCTTTTCGGTAGTAATCCCGTTGTAAAGATTAGCACCACAAGAACAGTCGTCGGAAAACAAACGTCGCCGGAAGTTGCATTCTTCTCAGCCAGAGGACCAAGTTCACTGTCTCCCACAGTGCTCAAGGTACTTCTGTTTTAAAATTTAGGGGCCAACTGGTTACCGGTTGCTGACCGAGTCAGCAACCAGTATGCCATCACTGAGTCAGACAGTGCTTGTTTTTACCGGTAAGCACTTGCTAAAAAATACTTAGAAAAACAATTGTTTTGAGTTGACACTTGCCCGACTGAACCGATATCTTGTTAGTGCTTATCCAATTTGTGTTGGTAAGACTTTTCGGATCAAACAGATTCAATTCGATTTTGTATACAATGCACATTGTTTTTTGCAGCCGGATGTAGCTGCTCCGGGGGTTAATATATTGGCATCATGGTCTCCGGCTGCTTCATCCGCAGCTATCGATCAGAATCGGGTTCCTTTGCTCGATTTCAAATTAGAATCTGGGACTTCCATGGCTTGCCCACATGTTTCCGGCATCGTTGCTCTTCTCAAATCTATGCATCCGACATGGAGTCCGGCAGCAATCAAGTCTGCCCTTGTCACCACAGGTACCTTCGTTTTTTCCGCTACAACGTACAATGTTTTTTACGACGCTCAGCCGTTATTAGCAGCTTAATAAGGTACTTAATGGGACTTTTCATGACTAAAAACCGACATCAAGTTGTTAAAACAAGATTAGTCGACCTTATTGTAATGCTTTTAGATAATATGCCGTTTTTGGCAGCATAATTATAGTTCCTTTTAAGTAGAACACATCGTAAAAGATTCGGTCTTTGATTTCAAAAGTTAACTTATATTTTGATGCAGCCTCCGTAGAAGACGAGAACGGTCTACCTGCGATTGCAGAAGGAGCTCCACACAAGCACGCCGATCCTTTCGACTACGGTGGCGGTCACGTCGACCCCAACAAAGCTATAAACCCTGGGCTCGTATACAACATGACAACCGCCGACTACGTTCGATTTCTTTGTGCAATGGGCTACAACGATAGCGCGATAAGCTCGTTAGCCAATCTGCACTCTCCTTGCTCTCGGAAAACCAACTTTCTACGAAACCTTAATCTTCCATCGATCTCCATTCCGGAGTTGAGGAAATCCATCACGGTAACGAGGATGGTGACGAATGTGAACCCGACAACGACCCCATCTGTGTACGTGGCACGAATTGAAGCACCACCTGGCACGAAGGTTAGGGTGGCGCCATCGATATTGATCTTTAATTCGACGAAAACCCGATTGAAATTTAGGGTAACGATTTGTCCGATGGTGAGGGTGGAAGGGAGGTTCTCTTTTGGGAATTTATACTGGGAAGATGGGGTTCATGTTGTTAGAACGCCGTTGGTAGTTCATCTCGTGATTCACAAATCGTATTCTCAAATATGATTTGTGTTATTTTATGTAAACTAACCTCTTTCAAGTGTTTCACTCGAAAGTGATCGGGGAGACCTGTTTCCATTGAGAGTGACCGGAACACAAAAGTATGTCACTCGAACAAAGTTGTCGCATAACACTTCAATACTTACAGTCCAAGTGTCCTATCGAAAACTTAACAAGTTTCACCTCAAGAGCCGGTTGTCCTTGGTGTCTATTCTTGCAAGGCTGCGTACACTTAGTATCTGCTCATATAAGGTAACACCTCAAGACTCAGCCTTCCTTAAATTTTCCGAGTGTTACAATCCTCCCACCTTGGAAAGGATTTCATCCTCGAAATCTCGTCCTAAACGAATAAGTGAGGATATCGCCTTTTCATGTCTTCTTCGGCTTTCCATGTCACGTTTTCACCTTGATGGTGCTTCCATTGAACTTTGACTAAGACTACTTCTTTATGACGAAGCTTCGTAGACTTCCTTTCCAAAATGGCATCGGGTTCCTCCACGCATCTGTTGTTCCCGTCCATTTGAATTTCTGATAGGGGAATGACACTCTCTTCTTTCGCTAAGCATTTACGTAAATAACATATATGGAAGTACTGTGGATACCTTCCACTTGTAGACCCACTTGGTTAAAATAGTAAATGGTCCAAGGAAACGAGGACTAAGCTTCCCACACTTTTTGAATCGGATAATACCCTCCCACGGGAACACCTTCAACAGGACTTAGTCTTCCACTTTGGTTGAACCTACGTATTTCTGCTTCATACTATCCCATATTTGTTTGCTTGTATCTATATTTAGGATAGTGTAGAGAACATCTCAATCAATTGTCTGATACAGATAGTTCTTCAGATTAAAATTCCTTAAGATCTGCTCATTTCTCGCCTTCTCTTGTGCCGCTTTTGGTGTAGATCTACCTTCATTCGAGATCTCATGCTCAATAAGATCCCAATACTCCTTCGATCTTATGAAGTTCTCCATCAATCTAGCCCAATGGTGGTAGTGACCATCAAACTTTGGTGTCGAGGGTAGTATGAACCCTTTTCCATCTACCATTTCTTTCTCTCTTTCTTTGCACTTTTAATCAGATCGACTAACGTTGCTTTGATACCACTTGTAAACTGGAATATCTTTGAACTATATTATAAAGTGACCTAAACCAATTTGATATCTTATTGAATAGAAAGGAGGCTCTTAAATAAAGCATTTACAACTAACAAAACAAGTAAAAAAAAAAACGTAAACCTAAAATCATGAGAGTTGAACAAATTACTCCTACAAAACATAAGTTTATTCAAGACTAAAATTAATATGCAAATGACCACGTCAAACTCTTTTACTCAACAGGATCTTACGAAATTATTTGTAATTATTTTATTACGCATATTATCCTATGTGATACAATTTTTTCACCATAGACCAATTATTGTATTGTGTTTTTTTCTTTTTTGTAAAACAAACAAAAAAGAAACTTATAAAATATATATTTTAAAACTATATATATAGATAAATAAATAAATAAATAAATAAATATATATATATATATATATATATATATATATGGTTGGGTTCACGTGAGACCAAGAGTTTTTCGTGAGACCTGTAAGACCAATTTATGTTCATTGATCAACTTTATAAGTTAATGATCTAATGGTCTAAATTGCACGGTGGCAATTTTGTAATTATTGAGAAATCTCGTGGCGTTTATGAATGTTTAGATTTTCAGATTGTAGATCTAATCCAAAGGTTGAGAATTGGTCTTTCGGATCTCACGAAAAACCATTGGTCTCACATGATCCCAAGTCTATATATATATATAGAGAGAGAAAGAGAGAGAAGTTCAAGGAAGAACTTCATAAAGTAGGAGATTCAATCTCAACCTCATTATTAATAATCAATGCTTAATATATATAATGTTAACTTTGGTTCTTATCCATTAATTTTCAAAAAAATTAAATTTATGGATAAATTTTAAGGGTAAAATAGTCTTTTTGTAAATCTCTCCTCTTTTCGGAGAACCTTATTTTGGCGAACACCGTGTGAACACAAGATACACACTGTGATTCCTAAAAAAATATTGATACTACTAAAAATATATACAAGATGCATAGTGTTAAAAGAAGATATACACGAGATAAAATACAAGATGCACACTATGATACCATAACATATGAGTTTCAAGATAACACCTCCATCAAACCAACAAAAATAACAAAAATACATATTGTGGTACACTTCGTAAAGCAACGATACATACTGTGATACATTGTGATACACTTCATCAGAGTTGTAGTTTGGGTTTCTTCTATATCTTGTTTATGGTACATCATCGAGGTCTACTACAAGAATTGAGTTATGGTGCATCATCGAAATCTCCGTCGATATCTGGGTGGTCCAACATCGTTGAGATTTAGACGACGTTATAGAGCATGTACGACAACATCTAAGTGAGGTTGAAATTATAAGGTGGATGAAATGCATGACGGTTGGTCGGGGACATTGGAGAGAAGGACGACGCTGGCAGTGACACTCTTCTACAAAAGCAATCTTCTAACACCTTCGCGACCTTCTTTACGCCGTTGCTGGAGTTTTAATGAACCTTCGAGAACCACCATCGAGCGGTGAGTCGTCGTACACGACGACAAAGGCTGATGGACGACTGCTAGTGAGATCGAGAGAGAGGGAAAGAGATTTTTTTGGGGCTGATTAGTGGTGAGATAAAATAGAGAGATTGATTAGCATGAGATATGGAAAGAGATAGAAATGAGATTGAAGAGTTGTCAAACTATCAAATTACTAAAATAACCCTGTATTATTAATTAAAGAAACATCCTTAATTATCTCAAATGATCAGCTAACATTGGATCTCACGGTTATCACAAATTACCGAGTTCTTATTTATTTAGGCCCCTATATATAGTGTGGGGTTCACAGGAAACCCTAAATAAATGAAAAACTAGAGAACCCTAAAGAAGAATGTTCTGAACCCTAAAATTCATGACTAGAGTCCTTATGATTTCATTTTTGTTATGAATCGTGTTCCTTACCCTATTTTTTGTTTAAAAAAACTCTCTTATGTCAGGGCATTTTAGTCATTTTACTATTTTATTTCATTTTAAATTTAAAAGTAATTTATATACATCCATAAAACAATAGCATGAACTTCTTGTCGATGCATCTCGTTCTCACACGGCTGGCGATGACATAACCACCACCATCCTACGATCCTAGCAACGTGCTCTGGTGAAATGAGTTACTTCTATCTCTCGTCTTTATCTTCGTCGTGGATCAAAAATAGAAAAAGGAAGTGGATTTTAGATACGGATATCTTCATTTTCGTCTCTGATCATTATCGATGCGTTTTTTTGTTCAAACTTTTTGGATAGTTCTTGATTCCATATCTGGTTTCTATTTCCCACCCTCAAGATAGAGGTTCAGCGAGATAATAACACTCCCTTTCAATCCCTTTTCGGGTATATTAAAACTTCCCCTCTTATCAGCTTGTAGGGGTTTTCACTTTCTAACTGTTTAAGGTTTATCTGCTTCTTCTTTGGTTAATTGGATTACAAGTCCTATTGTTAAGACGAACGACACTTGTAAAGTATATTCTATTTAACGGTCTTAGAAACTAGTTTCAAAGTAGAACAACCACCATCCGAGCATCTCTAACAAATTTTCCAAAATCAAGAAGTAAAAAGTCAAAATCTTCAAAAAAGTTACTTTTATCTCCAACAGATTCTCTATTTTTGGAGATTACACAATTAGTTATATTATTAAAATATTCAATATAATACATAAGATATTATTTATTTCTCCTAAATGCTTAAATTCTAACAATCTCATTGGTACAATGAATAAAAAAATCATTTCTTTAATATAAGTAATCATTTTTGAAGAAATCTTCAAATTTGGAGAATTTCATTCTCTCTCTCTCTCTCATTCTTTCTCTATTTTAAGGAATCTGTTACACTAAAAATCCCCTAAATTTCTATTTTAGAGAATATGTTGGAGATGCTCTAAAGCTTTAAATCAAAAGCCTTTGTTAACTACAACATATGTTGAATTATAGGTTTTAGTTTGTTTGTAATATAATATGTGACAAAGTTTTTTTTTTTCCATTAACCTGGATATCCAATCCGTTATGTGAGCCGACTAATCTCAGGACGACCATTCGCTTCGTGAGTAACCCGGGGTCACCGTATTGAACTTTCGTTGCCACAAGAGGATTTTTGTTTCTTTTTGGATTCAAACCTAAAACCTTAGTTTTGGTTTTTCAAACACCTTCAAACCGACGAACCAAACCCTTATCCACCCGTGTTAATATATCTTTGTCTTTTTATAAGTAAATAATAAAATTAAATTGCAATTAATAGGAAAAAAAAAAGAAAAAAAAAAGATATTAACTCCACCCATCAGTTTCGGCCACTAACCAATCTTCTGTTTTCAGTGCTCTTTACCCAATTCCCCCCCTTCCTTTTTCTCCCATTCCTACCACCTGCAACTCCTCTCTCTCTCTCTCTCACACACACACACACTTTCTCTCTCTATATCTATATCTATACATATTCCACCATATCTACATACTACAGGTACCTATACATACACAATTATTGCTTGTTTGATTGATGTTATTGTTTATTAATTGGGTTTCAATTCCTTTGTTGGGGTTTTCTTTCTTTCCTGTAACGCTCATATATATCTGTTTAAATTTGAATTTTAGATACAAATTTCATAACAACCATGGAGTGCATTGAAGCAAGAGCTTTGAAATCAAGTTTTTTGTCGGAAATTGGCATGAAATCAACCCAACAAGCCTTGTTCGAAGATTTATTTTGTGTCGCCGGAATCGACAACGTTGTTAACGTTTCCTCCTCCGTAGAATTTTCCGTCGATGATCTATTGGACCTATCCGACAAGGATTTTAATAATTCAGGTATTGAATATTCCGAAGAAGACGAAGAGAGGGATTTTTCTCAAGATACCGGGAATAATTTGATGATTTCTAGCAATTTTCCGAGCGCCGGCGACCTTGTGTCTCTTCCCGCCGGCGAAATTCACCTTCCGGTAATGTCAAAGTCACAATAATTAAACAATTTTACATTTGACTTTTGTGGTCAACCGTTCCAATTTTGATTTAACAAACCCATTAATTTTCTACGATGAAAAGTCAAATTGATGCCAAGTATTTGTAGTAGAAAACGACGAATTTCACCACAAATTCTGAAAAATTCTGTTCAGGTTGATGACATGGAATCCCTTGAATGGTTATCACAAGTTGTAGATGACTCCACATCCGACCTTTCTCTTTTGTTCCCGGCGGCAACTTTAACGGAGAATTACACCGGAAAATTCGCCGTAAAAACCCGACACGAACCGGTTGTCAGACCGGTGATTCCAAGTTTTACCGTTTTGGGATTATCGTATCCGGTTCCTCGAAAGTACCGAACCAAGCGGTCAAAGAAAACCGGCCGAGGTTGGTCCTCATTGACCGAGTCATCAATCGGCACTTCATCTTCATACGACTCGACCGTTACTTCTTCACATTTCCCAGACCCGGTTCAGCTTATTGAATCGTTTTTCAGTTTTCAGAAACCGGCAACAAAGAAGCACAAGAAAAACTCGGGTTCAGGGAGTTCGTCAGATTCAAGTGGTTCTGTAACGCAACGTTGTTGTAACCATTGTCAAGTTGAGAAAACACCTCAATGGCGAACCGGTCCTTTAGGACCAAAAACATTATGTAATGCTTGTGGGGTCCGGTTTAAATCCGGTCGGCTATTTCCTGAGTACAGACCAGCCTGTAGTCCCACTTTCTCTGACGATATCCATTCCAACAGTCACCGGAAAGTGTTGGAAATGAGGAAGAAGAAGGAAACGGAGGTTGTTGAACCGGAATTTAGCTCGGGTTTTCATACCTTTTCTAGTTGAGAATGAACCGGCTAGGTAAGTAGTTCCGGTTCGGTTCAAATTGTAACATTTATAGTGGGATGTCTGAAGACTTTAGTTAGGTTCCTAATGTTAGTTAGGGCGGTCTAATTTAGGTACAATTACATTTTAGTCCCTCATCCCAAATTAAATTTACATTAAAGTTCTAATTTTAATTACGATTATTATTAAATAATTGTTATTGGTTGAATAAAAGTTTTATGGTCGTTATAAATTGCTTTTATAGTTTCTATTTTCAGTAAAAGAAATTGATTAATACAAAATTGTTTATTTGTAGTATTTATGAAAAAACTTGTCGGGTCTACTGAAATTATCCAAATTTGTTTAAACTGTCGTTTAGACAGACAAAAGATGATAGTTATATATTTTAAATAAAAACGATATAAATTAAATATACGTCTTTTAATTTTATTTATTTTTGAAATTTAAAGACGATTATCAGTTAAAGATAAATGTTAAGAGTGGATTTGATTTACACCGTTAATCATCTACGCAGACGACTGAAATTTGTTTGTATAATTGTTACAATTACATGATCTGTATTTTAACTCCCTCTCCACATATGTAGGGGCCTAATCAAATGAGAACTAATTAGTTTGTGGTAACCGTGAGGTTCAATCTCAACCACAAATCGATAGATGAATTAAAAAATTTATAATTTTGGTAATTTTGAATTAAGATTTTAATGCAATGACATTTTATGTATTTTAAAACACTCCTCTCTCTCCTCTCTCCGTCCCCCGGCCTCCGGCCACCGTCCTCTAGTTATCGTCCTTCGGTGATACCACAGTGGTATCACAATCCATCTTATATGTGTTTGGGTATCACACTGAGGTCGTTTGTCTGGTCAATCGGATATATAACACAATGGTATCACAATGCATCTTATATGTGCTTGGGTATCACACTATGTCTTTTGTTTAACATAATCAATATTTTTAGGTATTACATGGTATCACCGGAGGACGGTGGCCAGATGATGGGGGATGGAGAGAGAAGAGAGGTGAGATAAGAGAAAATACCTAAAATATTCTTGCATTAAAATTTTAATTCAAAATTACCAAAATTATAAATTTCCTAATTTTATCTATTGATTTATGGTTTAGATTGGTTCTCACAGTTACCACAAACTAATCAATTCTCCCTTGAATGGACCCCTATATATATATATATATATATATATATATATATATATATATCTCTANTATATATATATATATATATATATATATATATATATATATCTCTAGAGGTGGGTTATTATACAACCTCTTACATTTGTACAACCAATACAACTCAACCTGAACCGTTCATTTAATTTGATGAATATGTAATTTATTGAAGTTTTGATTATTTCCTAATATAAAGTATTAATCATAATTAATGAATCGTATTCATATTCCATAATATTTAAATCATAATAAATGAACTCTCATCATTTCCATAAATATTTCAATTTATTGGGTTGCATTGGTTGTACAAATGCGATACGTTGTATTTGAAACAAACTCTTTCTCTCTCTCTCTCTCTCTATATATATATATATATATGGTTGGGTTCACGTGAGACCAATGGTTTTTCGTGAGACCCGTAAGACCAATTTATGTTCATTGATCAAATTTATGAATTAATGATCTAATGGTTGCAAAGTTGCAAGGTGGCAATTTCGTAATTAGTGAGAAGTCTCGTGGCGTTTATAAATGTTCAGATCTGACGATTGTAAATCTAATCCAAGGGTTGAGAATTGGTCTTACGGGTCTCACGAAAAACCATTGGTCTCACATGATCCCAAGTCTATATATATATATATTCAGACATTTAACATAGTGGTGATTGTAAACATTGGTAACATCTCCCATCCACGTGGTCCCGAACGGACGGTGTCACTAACGGGATGATACAAATGTGGTATCAGAGCATAAACACCTTAACCAAATTGAAAAAAGATTATACCTTTAAGAATGATTCGGAGAGTGGATTCCGAATATGTAATCGTTGTTTCGATTCTTTAAATGAATTGTGAAGAAAAGTTAGAGTAAATTACAATCCATCATCCCTATGTTTTTTTTATTACCGCCATATTTATTCTCTCTCTCTCTTTCTAAAAATTGTTTGGAATTGCATAAATATGTTCACATTTTTACATTTATGGTTTGTTGAAAATTGTTATTTTTAATTATGTTTTTGAAATTACGGTTTCCGTCATGTGGTTTACAATTCACTTTTTCGCCATGTATTTTATAATTCATTGCCTTTTCATCATCGATGTGATTTACAAATTTATTCTGTTTTCGTCCTTCGTATATACTTAACAATAAACCACATACGGAGTTAATCTCGAGAACAAAAACAACAATGAATTGCAAACTATAAAAAGAAGAACCGTGATTTCTAAAATACAGGGACGAAAGTCACAGGTTTTAACATACCACATGGACTAAAATCGTAGTTACTCGTATGGACACTTTTTAAAACATGACTTAAAACAACTGTACTGTTACATTGAGATAATTCAACGGTTATAATTAAAAAGTGGTTACAACCATTTTTTTTATTATAACAAAAATGTGTCCTTCAACCACAAGGGTGATGTCTGATTGGTTTGAGTTTGACTCCAAAGGTCAAAAGTACCCGGAGGTCCCAAATTCAAATCCAAGAAGGAATAAAAATCCCCTTGTGGCAACGAAAGTTCAAATGCGGTGATTTCGGGGTCGCCCTGAGATTAGTCGGCTCGCATAGCGAGTTGGATATCCAGGTTAATCGGGAAAAAATGTGTCCCTTTTACTTTTTAATCAAAAATCGACAAAATATAACCAAATAAACAATAGATTTTTGTCATTTTTAATTTCATATCCATATTGATATACGTTTAAATATGTCTTTTTGTATTTCTCTGATTGTTCTTGTTTTTCTATATCTAAGGGGCTGTTTACCTAAATGCTTATCATTAGAAGTCAACGCTATAATTTATTTTACGGGGTAAGATTGTAGTACATTAAAATGATATCGTATGCAACATTACCCGATAAACACTTACCCGGGTAAGAGTCGTCATCCTCACTTACCGAGTAAGACTCTTCATCTTTTTCATTGTTCTTACCGGGTAAGATTTTTGACCCTTGTCATATTCATCCGGTAAAGAAAGTTACCGATAAACACTTTCCGAATAAACGTTTAGTAAACAGCCCATAAATAATTTGCAATGAACCCAACTTTGGGATTCATCTTATTTGTCACTAGTGAAAAAGTTTTTGTGTTCATCTTATTGGCTTGAATGCAAGTGGGTTTATTTTTTTAATTTTAAAGAATTATGTTCGATTTTTTCGTGTATGAAAATCTGAGTAAGTATTTATTTATTTAAGATTTTAATTTTTTTAAGTTTTTTTTTATATTTATTTAAGTCCTAGGTCTCATACATAATTATTATTTATCCCTCAAGTTATATATTAAAGTGACTATATCTTACAAAATAACGTCTCGCAACACACCATAACACGTTATATTGCAACCACGCTTTAGAGTGGAGCCATAAGGGTTAACGTAATGCCGAACCCAAGCCTCGACGCAATAACGAGGTCATAATGAGTTATTTAGAACCACGGTCATCATCAAACATCTCGTTTTTAGTTGGGTTTACTCGGTTTTCAAACAAGATAGAGTTCAACGGCTGTCTAACGTTCGCTCTTATTATTGGTCGCAGTTTTTTGATTGATCTCTTTCGGTAGTTATTATGCTTCAGGAGAACTGGATGTAGGAGAAACAATATCTCAATTGAGTTCAATTTCAAGTTAAGCATTCAAGCTTAATCTTAACGGTTCACTTTAGTTCAATTGGTAAACTTAAAAGGGGGTTTTTTTTTCTTTCAGTTTTTGAATGGTTTTTGCATAAATCTTTAATTTTCAAGATTTCGGTGGATTTTTTTTGATACGACTAAGATTGATGTTATTGTATTCGTGGAACATAAATACATCTTTACAATGCAAACGTCACAAATCTTATCGAGATCCTAAGCAGTACAATGTTGCTTTTTTTCCAAAAAAATTAGTGGTCCCTATGTACCATAAATGGTAGTCACTAGGTCGAGTGGAAAACCTACACATAATTCATTGAGTTGACTCACCACACCACTCACTTTTTATTTTTATGTTTATCAATGTTTTGTTGTTTTTTTAATTAACCTGAATATCCAACCCGCTATGCAAGTCGACTAATCTCAGAACGGCACCATCCTTATGGTTATGTTTTGTTGTTTTAGAATCTCTTACAAATTTTTTTAATATTTAAAAAATAAATAAATGATTATTAAAAAAAGTAAACGATGTTGATTTTTATCCGTGATAAACTTTTTTTATAAAATTTAAGAAGAAAGTTAAAGTTCGTGGAATACCCAGTATTACAAAACATGATATCAGCGACGAAAATCATCGACGGTAAAATTTTGTTGGTATGTTCTGATGAATTATTGATGGAAAACCTGTACCCGTTAATCTTGTCGAAGAAAACATTTGTCGGTTAATTTTAGAATTAACGATGGATTAATGATGGTAAGAATTTTTTTTTATTATTTTAATTTTTATTTTTTTCTAATAAATTTGCACGTGGTCATTAAATATATTTTAATATATAGGAAATACATTAGTTTTTTTTAATTAATAAGATTAACCGACGGTTGGACCATGAATTTCCGTTAGTGATGGTAAACTACATTGTCGGTGATCCGTCGGTGATCCGTCGGTGACATTTGCATCGTTGATTCGTCGATATCTATTTCGTGCAGCTCCTGTCATTTTCATACACCACGGTTCATGCCACCCGGCCACCTCTGATTAAGGCTAACAGCTGCCGTAGTTCTTGCCACCACCGCTAAAGGCCAACGACTTTCGCCGCCTCGGGGTCGAGCTTCTTGCCACCTATGTCGGGCTCTTCAGCCCTGTTGCTCCCAGATCGAGTGGCCACTAGCAGGTCTTGCGGCCTCGGGTCTTGACGCCGCACTCCTCCATAAGCTATGGGTAATGCCGTGTGGCTTCTGGTTGTTGTCGTTTCTTGACCACAACCACAATTGTGGTTTTTGGGCCTCCATGGTTCACGGATGTTCAAGGCTAGCCCGACAGGTGATGGTGGTTTACGGTTTTGGGTCGAGTTGTGAGCAGTAACCCAGTGAAAGCCCTA